CTACACAGATTCCTCCAGGGATGTTTAAATCATCCTCTGTTCCAGTATACAATGGAAGTCACTAAGCCCTTAAGGTGTGCACTAGTTTCTAGGTTATGATAACAATCATGTTGGAGGAAAGATTTCCTAAAAAGTCAAGGAAACCCTTCCATTTATGCAGCCTCCTGTACTCACATTCTGAATCCCTCCTTTCAGAACAGGTAGCCCCTACTGAATCTACCCAGTGCAAAGAGTTTTATATCTCTGTTACTAGGAGTCTATTTTAAAGTTCTTTACACAGAAAACAGATTGGACTCTGACATAAAATCTTAGGAGAAACACGGTTAAATCACACTTACTGTGTGGTCCAACGTAATTTCCCTCATTGCAGGCGGAAAGCCAACAGGGAAGTATTTTAGAAGACTGATTTAAGTAACTTAAAGGCCTAACAGAGAGAATGGTTTGGACACAGCAGTAACTTTATAGCTGATTTCACTCTAGGAATACCAAGTAAAGAAATTTTCCCTCCCCTGATTTTAGACTTAGCAATATACTTTCCAAGGGCAATGTCAGCAAAACTATAATGAGGAACCCTGCTGCAAGTAGAGACTCAGCACAAACGCTAGGTGTATAACATGGCAGATTGGTGAAATCATTAAAACTGGGCTCTGGAACAAGCCTGTGGTACTCCTCAAAGCCACTCACAGTGCTATACTGATACATACACAATACAACTGCTCATGCACCGTTACAGAAGGAATATTTGAATAAAACAAGAGCCCACAGAGAAAGCAGAGAGCAGTGTTACAAGCTTTCTGTAAGCCAATTGTGGATCCCGTGCCCAGATCACTACCACAAAAGAAACAACCAAAGAATTCAAAGTTTATTCTTTAAAAAAGTTATTTAAGAAGCAAAATAATTTACTTGAATTCAAACCAAAAGAGATGCATTACTGAAAGCAAATAATTATACAAAGTAACAACAAATTAGCCCTTGAATAATAAGTCCAGATCCCAAAAAATCCCTACCATCCTGGAGGTTATACAGTCACTTAAGGCTTGAGGAGTAAAGGAGGACCACATATAGATTAGAATGTAATTCAAACTTCCACTGCTCTCCTTCCCCCCATAGGCCTGAAATTGCTTTCATCAAAGTGTGCTAACAATTATCATGGCTTAAGCATCATGGTTACTATCCAAAGTCTTACTGATATGAATAAGAACAAAACTTGAGCACTGTTGTTTGCACAAGACCATGGAGTGGGAACAACAACAGTAACAAGCCACAGAGTTACAGGATCTCATCAAACAGCTGTTCTCAACCCACGATAACAGAAACATTTATTTCATTTGTTGATACTTGTAATTTTTGAACAAGAGCTTTACTCTTTTTTAGTATTTTATCTCACAGTTGTTTATGTCTGTTCTTCCCAGTTAGAATAGTAAAGTAAGCTTTGCATCAACATGGTGTTATGCTGCTAGTTCTAAATAACATTTGGACTAAATCTACAGAACTACCTGTTCTTGTGCAAACACTTCTGTGCTTATCTTCTAAATAATTTTCCCAAAAGTTCTGGGAGGTTTGTCCTTCCACAGTTCTCTCTCAGTTGCCAACAAAGTCAAGGTTCTCTTACATAGATAGCTTGAAACAAAGTACTTTTTACTTCCATACAACTAGTACAGCACCCTGATTTTCTATCATTCACTAGATTTGAACCTAAATAATACAGATGGGAGCACTGCTTGTGTAGGTCAGCTCTGCATCCTAAAAGTTCATGCACCCCCCTCTGAGGTTCCAAACATGAAATACATACGGATTCATCTTACCAGCTCTTCTTCCCTTTTAAGATTTTATATAGCCCAAGAGAAAGAGAACACCAAAGAGCAAGTGGATGCATTGGCCAGTTCTCATACAATTCTGAGAATTCACAACTTTTGGAGTTACAGCCAGTACATTTTAATGACTAGAACATGCCACACCATGTAGAGAATTATTACAAGGAACTTCCATCCAAAAGAAATCATTTTCCATACTTGACCATGCAACCCTCAAACATCAAATGCCAGCTGCAAAGGCTTCCCATGGCCATGGGCAGTAGGTGGCCATGCTCTGAACTCTGCAATCCTGCTTGCCAGGAAAGAAACTCCTACATTTCCCAAATAAACAAAAGCCATACATGAACCCAGGTGACAGGATGTCATCATTCCAACACACTCTGACCACTGCACTGCTGTCTTTCCAAATGCTGATGGTAATCAGCATCTTTCCAATGCAGTGATGGTAATTCTGTCACTTTTAACTTGCAGGCATGAGATCATCCTCAAACAAATTTGAGTCACAGCCAGTGCTATCCATAATGCTGCCTACCACTGTGTATGTTGCTGGAAAATAATGTTTTATTTAAAAATATTGTATTTTTAATTCTTATCAGTGTCACATCAGTCAAGGGTAAAATAAATTGCAAAAAGTACTTAAAAGAATTATCACAGGTAAATAAAATGTGATGCAGATTGATCTCTTCATTCCAAGAAGAGAATTAAGAATATAAGTAGCGAAAGAGGGAGTATTAAAAGGAACAATTTCTTCTCTCAGTATTTACCAATTTCTGATTTCCATTTGAAACTGAGAACTCTAAATTAAGTTGTATGAATCCAACACCAACAAACTGAAATTAAGCCTCTCAAAATCTCTCTGCTCATGCTGGTTTGGCAGACTGACTGAACGCTCCCTCTGTTGGCTGAATGCTCATTACTCTTCCATGAGGAAATGGAAATTCAGCTTCGCTGTAGGATACACTGACCAAACAGAGCAGAATCTACTAGCAACAGCTCAAGAACTAGAGAAGGACACATTATTCCAAGAACAGCAGTAGGTTTTGCAACAGCGACCACACTTGGTCGTCCCAGTTACATAAGGGGACAATGCTTTGTTCTAGGAAGAACACATCCAGCTTGCATAGCAATTCTCTCACACTCAGAGACTGTCTGAACAAGCCCAGAATTCCCATCAGTTTATTGTACACCCTGCACAGAATCATCACTGAGCTCACTTCCTTCCTCATTCTGCAAGGATGCTGCAATCAGAAGCTGCTCAGTTTTCTGTTGTAGCTCCTTGCCATTTCCCCTCAGCGGGCATGTATCAACTCTGACAACTCCTGCACCAGAGTCAGCCTGAATCCCCAGGCTGCTCCCCTGACAAGACTCTCCAACTACATGTTACAGAGAGACATTTTGAAGAGACAATGGTTACAGTCTAGTGGTAATAAAATAATTTAGAATAATTTGCAAGCTACAGACAGAGCTGAGTAACAGCTGTCCTAACCAACTAATCTCCAGTTACGAGATTAACTGTTGAGAAGCTGCCCATAAATGTTGGCAGCTAATGTTAAAGATTAACAGCTGACTGATTTGGTCCATCTTGGAAAAGGAAGAAATCTGAAAGCTGCAGAAAGACAATACAGAATATAAACAGTTCCATCTACAAGAAAGTAAAACACAGATGCAGTCTTGTCCCCCTTCCTAGTTCAAGAGTCCTACAAGTGCCTGCTGGATCTTCCAGCCTACAAATTCCTCTTTTAGTATCCTGTCAGGCCAAGAGATCACCCACACAAGATTTGCCTGCTTAAGAAAATGAGCTCCCAGGAAATTCCAGTCCTTGGGGTTTTCCTCAACTCAAGGAACAGGGGACAACTTCAAATCTTCTTAGCAAACAGGCACTTAAGTTAGGAAAGATATGTCCTTTTTATTACAGAAAGTGAAGGATCTGTTAAGTGGTACTCCTGGCACAAAAGAGATGTTGCAAATAGGCTGTACAGGTGCAGAGAGAGCAGATACCAACCTGGGACAGAGTGTTCGTGGTGACAAAACCACTTCTGACATTACCTGCCAAGCAATGATTGGTGCCACTCCTCTGACAGCACTGCAAATCAGAATCCAACAAAAAGGGGACAAACATCACTTCTAGCTTTTACTCTAGAGGTAAAGTGTCATCTTTTTCACAGCATTTAGTCTCTATAGTTCACTTTTCTTGTGACTGGTTTTCTTCTTGAACAAACCCACATAACACTGTGAGAAAAGAATCCCAGTACATCAAGAGATGTGACTGCTCCATTGGCTGAGCAAGGAGGTAGATGCCAGAGATGTTCTTTTCAGATGCAGCACAGAAAAGGACCTTGTGCTAATTAACTGGTACCAAGGTTCTGGTCACTGGCACCAAAATACTGCAGGGCATCAGCATGAGATGGAGGACAGTAGCATCGAGACTTGTCCAGCAGCTGCATCTGACCCACGTGTCCTTGGCATCTGGAACAGAAAAAAGCAGCTGTGATCAGCTGTGTCCAGTGCAGCAATGGATGTGCACTGCAACATGTGCAGTACCAGTCCTGAACTCTCTGCCTGTTGTTACAGTGATGAGCAACATCTTTCAGGTAACTATTGAAAATAATTTAATTCTGTTAGGGAACTCATAAGTTTCAAAACTTGCATTATTTTATTTGGTTACTTTTCAAACAGTACATATCCTAGAGGAACACAGCTCAAGATAAGCTGCACAAAAGTCAATCCATCATCAGCAACTGGTGACTGTAGAGTTGTGCACACTCCTCTTTCTAGTTCAGGTTTTTCTTGTGTACTAGACAGAATTTACACATTTTCCAGAGAGTCAAAATTATTTTCACAGGAAGGAGACATTGACAAGAATGATACGAAAAATCACATAATTTTCAGTTCAGTGGAAATCCACAGGCTACAGCCAAAACGTTCCAGTGAATACAATTTCTTTTTCTTAATCTTTGCTATTGACTTAGAGGGGAAAAAAACATTTTGGAGAAGTAATTAATTGTAGGACCTAAATCTCTGAGTATCAATAGGCTGTGTAACAGAGGAAAAAATCCTATCTACAGCAGCTAGTATTTCCAAGTCTTGCTTATCAACAACTGAAAGACATACAGCCAAGAAGCAAATGAAGGACTACAAGCTCACCTTATCACATCACAACACAAGACAATCCCATACAGCCTTGGTTCCCATCTTCGTTGCTGTTGAGCTTCTTCATCCGGTACTGCCGGATCTCTCGCACCAGTGTGTAAAAAGCATCTTCCACACCCTGAATGTAAACAATCCAGGTAAAGTATTTTATTTCCTGAAGCTTTTGAGATCACTGCTCTTTCCATCACAGGATCCCTTAACATGTTTGAAAGATGTACTTCTACAAGAAGAGCAGTAGCCAACTTATCCCAGTTTGTAGAAGGAAGAAACCAGCACCTGGAGCAGCCCCCTGCTTAGTAACTGCCCCTTTTCTGCTTCATTCCACACTGATGTAGGAAGAACACAGGCTGGCTGGACAGAGCCACATATTCAATGCAACTCTGAAGAAGCCTATTAGTCCATTCTGGGGAATTGTCTCCCTAAATATCATCCTACAGCTGGCCTTCATCAAGGAGCCCAAAAAACCCAGCAGGTCTGGGATGACTAACCACAGCCTGACCACTTCTCAGCAGGAGCAGAGATGCAACTCTCTTCTTATGAACATGACAAGTCTGAAGTGATCTCTGCACTGGCCTAGCCCAGTGATAAAAACAGAACTATTTCAAGCTAAGAGTGAAATAAAAACCTAAAAATTGCTAACAGATTTAAAAATTTTTACTCCTGTAAATAAGAAAAAAAATACATGGGAAAGTGTTCAGACCATTCTACAGTTGGCACACAGGAAGAAATCTGACCAAGGGAAGCACCTTACCTGTCGTGTTTTAGCAGATGTCTCTATGAAGGGGATTCCATAGCTCTTTGCTAATTCTTGAGCCTGTTTGGTGTCTACTGTTCTGGTTGGCAAATCACACTTATTCCCAACTAGCACCATTGGCACATCATCTGAATCTTTCACTCTCTTTATCTGTTCTCTTTAAAAAGTCAAATTAAAAAAAAAAGTTAGGAACTATTTTTTAAATAAAAAAGCTCTTTTAGTTCTGGTTCTACAAAAATGCCTATTAACACTGGACAGGCCCTCAGGGGTTCTTACTGACAGCAGCATGTCCAATAACTTGGTACACTCCATCTTCTATCTTGTGTATAACTCCACACTGGTGTGTGTTTGCCTTTTTACCCATTTTCTCAGAGACCAAGTTCTGCATGTTCTGAAAGTTATTTGATTAACACAAGAACCCAGGCAATTGTCCCATTCTCAACTGATAAGTAACAAAGACATAAAATGCAGATAAGTTTGGTAAACGTTCCAAAAGAAGTGGGAGATTTAATGTTTGTCTATTATTTAATCTTAACTGGCTCTAACATCAAAGGGATTTAATACCTTTTCCAGTCTTCCCTCCCTGCAGCAAAGGCCCAGATCATACCTGTAAAGATTAATATCAGCAAATGATTTACTGTTGTTAATAGCAAAGACACAGAGGAATCCTTCCCCCGTCCTCATGTACTGGTCACGCATGGCACTGTACTCCTCCTGCCCTGCAGTGTCCAGGATGTCCAACAGGCACGTCTCTCCATCAATAACAACCTGTTTTCTATATGAATCCTGTAAACACACAAATGAATTTTAGAGAAAAACATTGTATTACTTCTTTCTGCCTCAGCCATTATGGAAAAACAAACACAATAATTAAAAAAACTCCACAAATTACTCAGAGGAGTTTTTCTAGCCCCTTCAAAGAAAAAAATACCAGTATCTAGAACCAGCAGCATTTAAAATGTTACTTTAAATTCTTTCAACCTTTCTTACATAAAAGACAAATATTAATAAGAAATTACTCAACTGCCAGACAGAAGTATCATAAATACCATCACAGCATCCCGGCCGCGAGCTGCCCCGCGCCGCTGCTGGGCGCCCACCCTCCGCTTTAGAAAGGAGGGGCAGGACGAGCAGGGAGTGTGAGAAAGCACCTCCCAGATGTCACTTCTGTGCTCTGCTCTCACTTCGGGCCGTTTAAGCAAAGCAGCCCCGC